TCACAACAGCAACTTTGCTAAGCAGAAGTTTCAGGGATTATTGAAGAAACTGTAGTGAGTAAGAAGCTTGCAAATTTGATTCACACTGGTTTTATCATGCAGCACAAACTTTTGCATGATATGGATACCTTAAGTTTTGGGACTCTCATACACAGTATTGAGAGTCCCAAATTTTCGGGACTAGCGCCGGCCATGATATTTTGCAGGATAGGCATTGAACATGCGCAATGATATTTTTCGGGATGAGCTATTTTTACGCTCATTAACCCTTACTCTCTGAGGGTAGTTTACTGCATGTCAGTTGGTTATGCCAATGCCCTCCAGCTGCAGTTTTTTGGCAGATAAACTATCTTGACAGTGAAGGCTCCAATTGGCAGGAGTTGGAGGCCCTGGAGGGTGCCTGATACTGACCAGCTGGGGGCACTCACTTTGTTATCAGAGGACTCTCATTGTTCTCTGTGGCATGTATTGGAGTGCCTGTCCAGTTACCCTTGACATGACATGGCAGATATTGGAGGGCCATGCAAAAAACATAGGAGATTTTCTTGAGGCACACATTGGCATGCGTTGGAGGGTCTAGTAGGGTAAGGGTTAAAGTTTGTCACCTCGCCTTTACGTACTTGTTGTAATGAGTCTGCCATTGAAAACTGATATTAAGTTGCACTCTTGTTATTTACAGGTGGTTATCATGACAGTCAGACTCAGAGCCAATGAAGTGGATGCTGTCAAGAATGCTTATGTGAACCACACAAAGCTGATCTTCAACTGAAGGAATGCCCAACTTTCAAAGTCCTTGCCATTCGGTTTGTCATGGTTCAACTCTGTTCATTGAACTAATATGCTCTAGAACAAAGCTCCAGTAAAGTCTATAGGGCCAACCTCTTAGGGCATGGAAATAATCGGCTATCCGATCACCACTTTTTTCAATTAATTTTCTAGCGCCAAAAGTTACCTCTTTTATGGTTATTCCCTCCACTTTCCCTCCTCTACTCTCACCCCCTCCCCTCCTTAATTTCTATTTATCAATCAGTCACTCACTTCATCGAGATTCGAACCTCGGACGCTTGCTTGATACACGAGTCTCTTAACCGCTAGGCCGCGCACGATCGCTGTTGCAATGATCAATCTTTGGACATATTTGAAGTATCCATTGAAATAAAATAAATATTCATGAGAAAATAAATATTCATAATGACGTATTGCACTATCATTGGCCGGCTCATGCGACGTCTCATGCGACGTCATGGTTATCGATGTCATGCGTATAACGTACTGCTGTTCCAGACACTTCAATCAGTTTTAACCGGCTGCTTCAACCTCAGATCTGCACTACATGTGCATGCAAAATGTGCTCCAAAAACACATTTTTACCAATTTGTTTTCACATGTCCACTCTTTCCTGGATTCCTCTTGGTTGAAATCACAAGGTGAGGTGAAAATTTTTATGTTTGGCGGCAGGTAAGTGGTGATTGGTTGGCCGAATTTTCCCAAATAATCTTATGAGTTTCGTAGTTAAACTGAAATCTGAAATGAGTGATTTAAATCCAAATACATTAACAAATGGACTTAATCTTCATGATGTTTAGACCTTGAGCACATAGATGCTTAGAACTAAGTCCAGTTTTAAAATAACTTGAAAATAAGTTGCACAGTAAACCTAACCTAAACATTAGGTCAGTGCTCATAAAAGTAAATTTAAACTTCAAATAAGTTTAACAATTCACTTTTAATGAAATTAATATTTGGTTAGACTTCAGAATATTCAGTGCCTACAACTAAGTTTTCCACTTGATTTAATGAAATTAGAAAGCATCAGCAGAACCGTAAATGTAACAAAACCTAAGGACAAAGCTCATAAAAGTCAAATTTAGCTTTAGATGTGAGGCAGCTCACTTGGGATGGCAATCCAGTTTTGACTACAATGTGGTAGCATTCAAGTATGCCAAAGTCATTTTTGTTTCCACTGTTCTGTGTAAAACTGTGGACCCTTGCAGCATTTGTTAGGCCATTCAATCATCTGCATGCATCCATTGACAGACAGTCATATTAACCACTTGCACTGACGACATAAACCACCTAATTAAACACTAACCAGACCTGTCAAAATGTTGCAAGGACTGGGGAAATATTCCACGCTTCTTGGGAACTTGAGTTCACTTGCGCATTTTCTTCTCAGTTTTTCAAAGCTGTATTGCTAGTAAAAACAGTTCTTGGCATTTGCAAAATTTATTGAAAACAAACAATTCGAGTCAACTTTTACATTTGGCTGAAATAATGAGCACAAGCAAGAAAGGAAATGAAATGCTTTCAACAAATTCTTTCAGAGCATAATCCAAAAAAGGACAATCTTTCAAAAACAATCTTAAAGTTAAAAATGGACAAAAATCAAATGAAATAAATTATATTCTATATGAAAATGATATAAATGATAAATAGCCAAACATGATGTGTTTAATCTAAAAATACAATTTAAATACTACCTTCATAAAAAGAAATGTTTGAAAGGATTAGTTATGGCTGAAAGAATTTTATTTTGAAACTATAATTACAAACAAGGTAGCTCTTGTGTGCCATAACCACATGATTTAAAAATTGAGGTATGACATTTATTCAAGTTGGCCCTTGACATACTTGGGACAATGTTCAGTACGGAGCAGTAAAATGTTAGTCATGATGAAGAAACTCTGAAAATCGCCTCCAATTATAAGTTGCCTCTGGATAACTTTGAACATTAACAGTACAGGCAATACTACTGCACATCTGACCAGTTTGGAACAAAGGATGGACATGACTGTTCTGTTAAGTATTGCAATTCTCCAGTGCGGACTCGGTGCAAACTGCAACATAACTTGATACAATCGTCTTGGAAGCACAACTGAAGAACATGCCTACCTTGAACTCCATGCAATATTGGAAGTTTGTTTGGACACTTGTTTGGAAGGACGATGCTTGTTTGGAAGGACGATGCTTGTTTGGAAGGACGATGCTTGTTTGGAAGGACGATGCTTGTTTGGAAGGACGATGCGTGTTTGGAAGGACGATGCGTGTTTGGAAGGAGGATGCTTGTTTGGAGGGACGATGCGTGTTTGGAAGGACGATGCTTGTTTGGAAGGACCAACTGGAACTTTGAGGAACACTGCCTATTCTGATGTGGGAGACGTGGAATTCTGGTGACTTTCTGCTGTTGGGACAAGTGGAATGATTCTGGTGACTTTCTGGTGACTTTCTGATGTTGGGAGAAGTGGAATTCGCCATCCTCGCTACCTGTGGATGCCTGTATCACTCGGAAACCTCGGAGGTAACCCCCCCCCCCCAAAAAAAATCATTGTCAATTGTCAGACACTTAAAAAGGATTTTGCTGATGCTATAGCAATGCATCATTTAACTGGGTTTGGGTTTGTTTCACAAATTGACACATTTGTTATGGGGCATGACACTATAGGTCATTCTAAAAACAGATTGGTTAAATAACCAATGTTGGTTAAAATGTATCCAACCAACCCGATTAGGTCCACACATATTAAAAAATTGTTGGTTAATTCAACCAATGATTGGTTATGTTACCAATCTGTTTTTAGAGTGTAAAAATGGCAGATATAATGAATCTGGTATTTAATAATTTCAGATTTTCATTATTTGACCAAAGGCAATTCAAGGAAAATACTTCAAATTAAATGAACATTAATTTATTTGCATGGATTTTCTGCAGACGTGAACATGCACAAGAGACCCCCTGATTGTGAAAGTGTACAGTTTACAAGTGGAGTCGTTCTGTAGATTGCTCGGAATCGTCGGCATAGGGGGACAAGTTTGCATGTTAACTGAGGTCGGGTAACCATTTTTTTTGCAGGGCCACATGCATTTGTCCCCCCCCCCCCCTGGATTGTGACAGTTTGCAAGTGGAGTCGTTCGTTGGATTGTTCGGAATCATCGGCGTAGGGGGAACAAGGTTGCATGTTAACTGAGGTGAGGTAACCATTTCCTTTGCAGCTCAAGGCCACATGCACTTGTTCCCCCGGATTGTGACAGTGGAGTCGTTCGTTTTGTTCAGAGTAAGTCAAACCATGATTCTTGTATTTTTCATGTGCAAGCAAATTTGAATCTATCCTGATTCTATAAGTCGAAGCAACTGCTAATTATTATATTATGTTAACCAATTTGCACAGCAGTTTTGAGCAATTCTGTAATAAAATTTCTCTCAGGAAAAAAACGTTAAATTTGCTTGTACATATATATGTAACTTGAACCATCCTGGAAAAATTTCAGTGAAAACAAAGTTTTAGAAATAAGCACAAAAGTCAATTTGTTTGTCAGGATTTTGTTGAAATAAAGGAAAATTGGGAGAAAAACATTCCCAACAGCCCAAATTCTTTTTAATTTTTTTTGTTTTTTTTTGTTAAGATTACATTTTGATTATGTTTTACTTAAACAATAAGAATGTCCAGGGTGGTTGAAATATGTGTTTGTTATGTACTGGTTGGTGGTGGGTGTGTGCTTGTTATTGTGTGGGGTGTAGGTGGTGGCTTGTGTGGGGTGTAGGTGGTGATTTCTCCACAGGTCATCGGAGTTGGACTGGTGCCCCGTTTGCGGTGCGGGGTAAACCCAGTTAATCGGAGTTGGACTGGTTCTTCAGTTGAGGTGCGGGGTAAACCCAGTTAATCGGAGTTGGACTGGTTCTTCGGTTGAGGTGCGGGGTAAACCCAGTTAATCGGGGTTGGACTGGTGCCTCGGTTGGTGCGAGGCAAACCCAGTTTCAAGGGACGGGTTGCGTCCGCGGGAATGCTCCGGCATCCACGTGGGGCGTGGGTCCTACGCAGCGGCCTGGAAACCCTAGGATGCCGTGCCATAAAGGAGCAGGTAGTGCGTCCCTCTTTATAGGGGCGTGGCCCTGTATTCACAGCCGACAAACGCTGCTACTTCCTCAGAACGCATGAACCTGTAATGGGGGATGAACTGAGGGGGGCACGCATATAGGTTAGGGTACTCTCCTGGTCCTTCGGGGTTGGGGGGGCGTACCGGACAGTCGGCAACTGTGCATGGCCCTCCGGGGCCGGCCTTTTGCCCAGCAATGGACCTGACGATACTGAAAGCGTGTTTGGGGCTGGTATCCTGGGACCTTCACGTGGTGGCCCTGTTTAAACCAATCTTACCAGGATGTGCTTCCAGAAGGGTTACATCTAAAAACAAGGTAAGATTTTAAGAAGGAATGACTTTTTGAAGAAATTTGAAATTTAATTAGCAACTTTTGAAAAATAAATTCTCAACAAACATCATAATTATTGCCGATCAGTCAAAATGGACTTCAATTTTAGACCCCAAAGAGCATTCCATTTGTTTCTTGGATTATTATTTTTTTCCATCAAGTAAACCAAAGCATTCCGTTGGAGAAAGATTTTAAAACCTTTTCTTACAATGGTAAACAATCTTCAGAGTGGGTCAACAAAGGCCTTTTTCTTTTAATTGAAATTGATTCCACCTCAAAATTTCAATCCAGTTTTAACTCGGCATTCTGATTCTATAGCTTAAAAATTCTGGGCGCGCTAAATAAAGAGAACAAATAAGTAAAACAACACAAATAAAATTGTTTTTGTGTTTATAATTGGAAATACAAAATTTGTGGACAAGATTTGTGTGCAAAATATACTTTGAAAACTTGACCATTGGAATGATTACTTTGTTTTGTTTTTGATAACACAGCAAGGTACAAGCTACCACGGATGAGAAGCTTACTGAAGAGAAGAGGGAAAGTAGCGATGAACCAACGACTTCAGGGGAATCCGATCATCCAATCCAAGGTGAGCATCTGATTGCAACTGATCCATTATAGACAGCAAAAGGAATGGAGAAACATCTTCAAAACGGCTGAAATTACGATTGGACATTTGTCTGTGAACAAATCAAATTCTGTACTTTGAAGTGCATTCTAAATTAATGGCTTTTGATGCTCTGCATGAGACGATTTAAAATATATTTTGTCGGGTCAGTTTGATTCAAAATGCATCAGTAAATTAAACAGTTTCAAAACTGCACACTTTCCAGTTTAATTGATTAATTTAAAGAAGAAATTCCACAATTTGCCGCTGGATAATGTTGTTTTGCAAGTTATTTTGTTATTGCAGTTTAACCCTCCCCCTCCCCACTGGAGATGAGAGGCTGTAGAGGAATTTGTTGTGTTGACAATGAATCATTCTAATCAAAGGTGAGCAAAACATCTGATTGAAGATGATCAATTCAAGACAGCAAAGGGAACGGATAAACCTAAGAAAAGGCTGAAATTATGATTGCACATTTGCCAATTCAGAGGTCCTTGTCAGAGCAAAAAATACATGCTCAAGTCAGATTGTGTATTTTTGATATGCTTGTCAATTCGACATGATTGCTGGCTCGAAATTGGTTTTCGCAGTGCATTTTGGCAAATTTATTTCAATTTCACAGTTTGTCAAGAATTATGCTTTCTAATCATTCTCAGCCCTGATCATTTATTTCCTTCAGATATCAAACATTAATTTCTTGTTTTTCTTTCCTTCCTTTCCTGATAGTCAGTATGGGCTCTGAGAAACACGCAGGAGACAAGATCTGCCGCAGTCATTGTTAGCAAGAACTACCAGTTTAATAAGGTCTCTGATTTTGCACTTGTGCTTGGAAATCAAGGAGCAATTGTAGTTGACTTCCAAGGTAGAGAGTAGACTCCTGCTGTTGACACAAAGATTTACACATGTGTATTTGAAGGACAGTTTTGCAAGTTGTAAACATATTTTTCAAACTACGAATGGTTCGCTAATTGTGCATATGCCCTGAAAGTGCCCACTGGTTCCACCTCAGAAATTGCTTTCAAATGTGGTCATCCGATTATAGTCTCCATAATCTCTTGAGATCAATTCAAGTCTGCATGTCCTCTTGATAGTTACTACAACATTGATGTCTTATTTTTGATGAATGCAAAATCTTCTTTGTAGTTGAGATGTTCTCAAATTCTGAAATTGTCTGATGATCCACTATGTGCCCTGTCTGGTAAACACTATTCTAAGACCCCACTGTTCTCAATCCAATTCAAGTTGACTTGACTCTGATATGCCTTTTTGTTTCTATCTCGCATCTTCCTCTGCAGGTGGACCACACAGACAGTACGATAGCCTTGCAGAGGAGAGCGTTTCTCATGAGTGGATTTACAACTGACTGACCAATCAACCTTCATTGGAACTTTTTGAAGTAGTGGTGGTGGGAAAGCTAGGTTTTCAGGTTTGAAATGGAATGTTTTTCTAGGTTATGACTGGTTAAATATTTGGTATTTTGTAAATATTTTAATTTTTTTAACTGTATGCAAACACATAAAATTGTGACATTTTCTCCAAGATGTTTGATACTTGTGTAATGGCAAAAAATGGCTCGCTAAGAAAAAATCCTGGTTGAAATTATTATGTCACGATATATTTTTAGAAACTGGGAGAAAGAAGAAAAGGAATCAAGGAAACCAAATATACTTCTCAAATTTTGAATTTAGTCTGATAAAAAAGAAGATCTTTCACACAAAAACAATTTGTATCCTTAAATAAAAAAAATCTTCCTAAATACATGAAAGCAATCTCAATCTGGATCAAACAACGAATTAAAAAGTTAAAATGAATTTGCCAAAGAGAAAAATAAAACTTTCAAGGATAAAAATAATAAACAATTGGATACAATTTTTGGAGAATATTGAGAAAAACTAAGGTTTAGATAAATGGACAGCAAGAAAAAAGTAAAAAGCCACACGGCATTATTGGAAAATGACTGTAAAAAGCACAGCAATGATCTACAAACCAATGACTCCACAAGCAGACAAACCCAAGCAGGAAACAACTCCAGTTAGGAGCAACTTATAATGAAATACTGTGAACTATAAACTGCTGGTCTGCTGGCTACAACTAAAGTGTGGCTTGTAGGGCTGTCCATTTTCAAATAATTAAGTATTCGATTATTTCAAAACTGCACTTAACCGAATGTTTGAATATTAGAAACTTGCCGATCAAGTGTGACACACGCAAGCTGCAGCTGCCTTCCTAGCTGGTCAACAATTGCATATAAAGCATGCTGGTTACAAATGACATGCGTTGATGGTATTGTCTCCTTTTCTTTGTCTGTGGCATCCATAGGGAGGTTGCTGACAGCCAGGTGATGACCAGCATCTTTCACCAGTAGTCTCCTGGTCTTCCACTGCATCTCAAATTTCTTGCCACCACAGACGGATGTTTCAGTGAAGTAGTTTTGCTCCAACCTCTCTGCCATCTGCCATGCGATGGGCGCTAGAGCACATCCCGTTGAGGAAGTCGGTAGCTAGGGGTGGAGGAGCACAGTTCAAGTTAACAACGCTGATGTTTGATGGTAGCTACTAGAGATCCTGGATGCTGACTCTGCCTTGGTAGGTGATGTTGAATACGGTAGAAATCACTAGGGAAAAGTTCTATATGAACAGCATGTGAAGTGACAGTCTCTAAAAAGAGAAGTGGTTCTGAAGATTTGAAGATTTAGTCCGTGATCTGTGACTGTCATCAGGAGAATGCCTGAACCTAAAGACAGGTGGTCATTTAACAGGTGTGGGACAGATCCAGTGTGGATCAATAAAACATGATGCGATAATACAGCCAGCTTAGGGTTGAATTATATTAGGAATAAATGACCCACAAGTCTTGGAACTATTGATAATCAATAACATGTGGAAATCACCCTGTAATACCTTTTGATCAGCACAAACCAGAAGAGCGATCACGCAGCAAATTGGAAAAAAAATTCACTGTTGCGTGACTGCTGCACAGATCGATGCGTGCCGGTTTTTGTACGGTCCCTACATACCTTGATGTTTAATTTCAATTTTGCTTTTTATTTTCAATTCAAGGTTTTCACAATGCCTGGACCTCAAAGTGCTGAAATGCCCTGAAACTGCACATCAAACATCAGGTAGGTCAACACCATTGTCACAAACTCACAGCCACGTGCTGTGTTGTGTCAATTCCTGAAAAACTACATAGTCAATAATTTCGGTTTCATGAGCGCACTTCGTACACTGACGCGTAATACAATAATTTTGGTTTTCACTAACTGAAGTGCAACCATGTACATGTAGCAGAAATACAATTAGGACAAAAATGCTTTGAAAGGTTTGACATGAATTTACTCCATCCGTATATTTTTGGGCTTAAACAAAAATTTATTTAAAAACCATTTTACTTGTGAAATTAAAATACACTCGCGTGCTGGGCACTCACGCACAACTGAATGTCGATTCATGGTGTCTGTGACAACATTTTTGTAAGATATGGAGGTTCAATGTTTTCAGAGCTTAATTACTAGTAAATTAACAGAATAAAATCAATGGTTGATTTTTACATCCCTGCCTGCATCAGTGATCAATTGCATAAACTTTATTCAAAGTGGTTGTTACATCAACTATTTACTTGAAATGGATCAGTAGAGGTTTTACGCACCATTTTTGGATCAGATCCTTGCTTGAACATTGTAGTAACCAAGTTCTTGTTAGTGCACCTTCTTCAGACAGCTCTGTGAACAAGTTCACTCATTATGTAACTTTCCATTCTGTGCATGTGTGCAATTATCTTGTTTGTTTACAATTTCACTTGCTTCATAAAGTCAGGTATTTGTTCCGGATAATAAAACTAAAAACTCAGTGTATACTCAGTGACTTGCAACCAACCCAGTTACTGGAGATCGCTTGAAGTAGATTGCATGCAAGTTGTTTCTTCAGTCAAAATGTCCTACTGGTGATAGCATCAAAATTGAACAGTTGGCTGAACTTGCAGACAGAATAATGGATGTTGCTGCTCCACAGCAGCCAGCCAAGGTCAACTCAGTCACATCTACATGCACCCCTGCATCACTGACAGAAGTGCAACTTCTTCACACAGAAAAGCCAGCTGTCACTGCAAATACAAACATTGTCTGCAGGACGTCATCGTTCTTGCAGTCATTCAAGCAATTGACCACGCTCCCTGTGATGCTAAAACATCCGAGGGTCTTGGACCTGGATGACAGAAACAACTCTGGAGACAAGCTGCTGGAGAAGAATCACTACATGGCCAATCTCCAACACTCTGCGAAGGAACACTCATCAGATGCCCCTTTGGGCAGCAGTAAGGTGGATAAGGGGAGGATTCTGGCTCTGGCCCAACACTCTGTGGATGCATGCTTGAGAACCCCTCAGGGTAACCGTATCACAGATGAGGGTTCGGGGAAGTGACCGGGAAAGTGCCCGGGAAAGTGCCCAACACTCCGTGTAGGAATGCTCAGGAACCCAAGGGCGACCATAACATGGACAAGGGCCAGGCCAACGCCTGTACGTGGTACTGGAGATCATTCCCACAGCTTTTGAACCCCATCGTTACAGGCACGGGTCCATTTCAAATCCACAGCCTTCAAGATCTTCAGACAATGAGACCAATCTTTTCCTATCCTGTCACTGGAATTGTGTCATGTGTCGGGAGAGCTACACTTGCAGCAGACGCTGACACAACACCAGCAGTACATTCTCTAGTTTCCTTTCACCTTGTACGTTTATCAGTGGGAGTTTGACTCAGACAGGCTAGCTGTTTCCAACCACTACCAAACTCACAAGTGCAGTGGGTCCGTTTCACCGATTGTCCGAGCTCTCCTGCGGCCTCATGACACACCTTCCAAGCCTGTGGATATAACGCTCCCAGCCCATGGCTTGGTTGGTCAATTAATAACGAGTGTACTGACATCAGCCTAACACTCTGTCTCCCAGGAGCACGAATCAGGGACTTCCCAGCCGGGACTGGGATCAAGTGAGATCTGGCCATATCCCAACACTCCACGGATGAATGCTGGAGTTCCCTGCGGGGTTCTTCTAGCGTGGATGAGAGAGTTGTTCTGGTGCTCCAACACTCTGTTTGGGGCCCTTTGGTGTTTCATAACACAGATGAGGGTCTGTACATGTATGTGCTGGGGGAGCAGCCGAATCCATGTGACTGATGTGCGGCGCTGGAATTCCATCACAGCTAGGTGAGGGAGCAGGCCGGGTTGCTTTTGGACATGGCCAGCAAGCTGCGGCTTACCTTCGGACCAATGAAGTGTGTCACTCTGTCCCTGGAGTGTCGCAGAGGTCGGTGAGTGCTTCCCTCAGACTACAAAGTGCAAGGCAGCGATATTCCAGCACTGACTGAGGAATTATATCGTTACTGTCACGTCCGTATCGGGTCGTAGAAGTAACAAGAACCTTGAGGCAGTGGTGGCCAAGATGACAGAAGATCTGGGCAAGGTGGAATCCTCTCTCCTGGCCCCCTGGCAAACGCTGGACGCACTACAAACTGCCATTGAATAGTGCACCTTGTATGTGTTGCTTGCCAGCAATTGCCAGAAGAAAAGTCTAAAGTGGCTTTGGGATGAGGTGGTGAGGTTGGTGCGGAAAGTTTGCATCCTTCCGACGAGGACCGCCACCTATGACATCTTTGCAGACAGAATGGTGAGCGGTCTGGGTCTGACGGATCCCATCCAGGATGCTGCAGTCAAACAGTCACGCAAGCTGTATGAATTTCCTCTTCACCTGGCAATACCGGTTGCAGTGTCTCCACCATGCAGCTGACTTCTGTCGTCTGCCGCACCATTCAGTTCATGAGCGAGTCTAGGGAGGGGGACCTGGCCAACTTCAGCTTGAGCGGGCAGATCTGTACCCTCTGGTCCCAGGCTATTATGGTGGTTGGCCTTTTGCGTATCTCTTGCAGTGGCTGCTGTTAGCTCAGTAGTCGCACGTACGAACAAGGGGAAGGAGATACTCTCCAAGACCATTACCACGGTTCTGCAGGCCGCCGCCCGAGAGTTTTACTCTGGTAAATTTCTCTTGTTGACAACCGACCGCAGCTGGTAATTTGAATCAGCCCTCTTTGGCATCCTCACTTACTTAGCAGCAAACATGTACACACCACTACCTGTCATTCAGAGCATGGTCCAACGATTACAATGCCAACTCAAGCTCTGTGATGAACACTCAAATTGCTCTGTAACTTTCCATTCTGTGTGCTCACGTGTATGAAATGTGTATCGTTTTGCTTGCATCTAAAAGTCAATTATTTGTTTTGGATAATAATAACCCATGTCTACAGCCTCGCAAGTAATTTACTCTATCAAGTAATCTATATTTCATTTTTTGCACAGTCTTTGATTAGACAGGACCTGAGTAACCTGAGTAAGTCCTCAGACGCCTGTTATCAGAACCACAAGAAGAGGAATGCATGTGTTTCAGGTAAGCTAAGAACTTGTTCAATATACTTGAGTACTTGCTTTTGCAACAATGTTTATGTGAATTATGGGTTGATGAAAAATTCATGCTAAAATATTGCTGTAGATGTGAACGCAAAGGAAGCTAAAATTTTAAATTCTATCTTGAAAACACCTCCCTACATATAGTTGTTCTCCCAAATTAGTGGAGTCTCAAAAGCTACAAAAGCCTGCAAAAAAGTACGTTATTTATATTCAATTTCCTTTTATTTTTTTCAACTTGAATTTCAGGTTTTCCTGCTCTTACCAAGAAGACGTTGCTCTTGATGCTGGAATGCCCTGAAACTGCCCCACTTTGTGATGACATCAAACATCAGAGAAACTACATCCAAGGTGCCTTGGGCCTATTTAGAATGTACTAGGCTGTTAAATGAGAAAAAAAGGTTATATGGGCAATTCCATGCTGGTGGAGACACAAGACCAAACAATTATTTTACGGTTTGCTCAAGTTTGATTTGCTGAAGTGACACAATATATCTTGACGTTTTAAAACTGAAATAGTTTCGTCCCATGCGCGCACTATTTTGTGAGTAACGGTACACCATCACATCAAAGTCTGCAATGACGTCATGATGACTTATGGATGCACTGGTAAGGAATTTTGAATGAGTCTTTTGCTATCTATTCAGTAATATTTTCTCTCCATTTGTTATGTCACCATTTTGAGGGCATTTCTGTGAAAATGGATATTTCTTTTAAGCTGTCAATTTTTAGTCAGATTGTGCTTGTAAGATGAGATGCAAATATTATTATTTATAAGTCACCAAAACATTTTTTTTCTTTGTAAATACATGTACCTTTATTTTCTGACCAATGAATTATTCTGTTAAAAGTTATTTAGCTTGAGTTCTGAGAAGTATATTTAAAAAATAGAATGTTGTTTACATTTTTGTTTTATGCTCAGGCCAGCCATGGAATATTGTAATGTCGGCACATGTAATGTCATGCAGTCACAATCTCTTAGCGTAACGTAATGCCAGTCACATTATTGCACAGTCCGTAGTTGAGTAAAAATGCAAGTACACATGTTATTTAAGTCCATACACATACAAGTAGTCAACTCTTTGAACCAAAATGCAACTGAGTGCCAAGCCACTGTCTGAGCAACTTATATATTTTTCACAAACCAAGTATTTTTAAAATTTAATTTGGACATCTGTAACCCTTTGATAAAATGAAAAATATATATTTGTTTTGTTTTTGGGCACAAGTAGTCTATCATTGTCCATTCTGATGGGGTGGGGTGGGGGGAAGTCTTCCCTGTGAGAACTGAATTATTGTTTGGCACCAAATAGTTTGGTATTCATAATTCCCTTTTACTAAACATCGGCTGATCTAAATTCTTCATTTTGTTGTTGGTTCATTGGATAACTTTGGTATTGCTGCAAAAATAGCAATTAAAATTGTGTCAATATAAACATGTACAAAATATGAATAAGTCTGTTGAATATTTTATATTTTTCAGGAAAGATGTACAGCCAAGTTGCAACTGACAGCAGCAGAGAGAAAGACACAGCAGAAACAAAACTTGGAAGAAAAGGATTGTATGAAGACCACAAGAGGAACAAATGAAAGAGGAATAGACAGAAAAGAACAGAACATGAGGAGTTTCATAAGTGAGCAAGAATAAAACTATGAGAAAAGTAGTTAGAATTGAGCATGGAATTTGTTAAACATGTTGAGACCTCAAAATTGTTAGTAACACAGAAAATATGATGCAAGTCTATTTACACAGTTTTGATTGGAGACAACTGTAATATTATTAGGGTCGCTTTGCAAAGTTTCTTACTTAATTAGCTTTATGATCAGTTACTTTTTGGTGTTGACGGTATATACATGTAGGTTTTTTATTATGTTTTTGTTTTTCATAAATTTTAAAACTCTGAGTTTGGATATTGAAAAAATATTTTGTTCTTGCATACAGTCACTGTTGGAAATTATAAAGACAATAAAACCTGAATCTGAACAGAAACTATTCAATACACAGTGTCTCATTTCTCAATTATCATGATTATAAAAACTTTCATTTTACATCTTTGTACATGTATAAAGTGTTACACTGGCTATAAATTATATGAAAAATAAAATATGACATCCATTGGCCTTAAACATGAAGAGAAATTTCAAATTTGCTCTATCATTTGTTTCCTGTGTTGCTTTTTATGTAATGCCAGTCACAATAAAGAAAGAATTCTGTAAGCGAAGGACAGAAAAGATCAATGCGTCTACAGGTTGAAAATGTAAAGACACTTCATCCCGAAAAAAATGATGCGTATTGGAATTTATATGATACGGCTGATCAGTGTATGCAAACATAATAGCGTGTCCAAATTTCAGTTTTCGGCATAGCATCTCTGCGTATACCTATTGAGAAAATGGCGTTACAATTTCTTGTCACAAAAATGCTCCAAATTCACCATACACCTTCAAAAGTTCACTCTTTAACTCCAAACCGACATATGTCTTATATGTCATAAAATTAAGAATGAGAGGTGGTTATCATTTCACTTTATCGATTCTTGTACGAGAAGAATTGAAGTGATGGTGTCACACGTAAAATTGTTCTGAATCGTGATAATGATGCGAATTTGAAACCTGCCGAAACTCTCTAATGTCTGTCACCATGGAATTGCTCATATTCTTGCTCAAACTGTAGATTTTCTGCTTTTGCCCAATACTTGGCATTATTGTTTTTCTGTTCATTTGCATTTTGAGATGTCCTTGAATTTATGGAAAGAAAAGGGAAATGGAAAGTGTTTTTGAAATAATTTGAGCATTCTAAAATGAATTGGCATAAAAATCTAGCCAGATAGACACAGTTAAAATATTTGGTCTATAGAGGGCAGTATGCATATATTATCTGTAACATGTTTGTAAATCAATGTTTAACTTATTTAAATTTAGTTGTACAAGCAATTATTCCTGAAATAAGGCGTTACTGTATTGGAACTGGTATTGTTTTTCTTTTTGAAGTGGTTAAAACATTTCAGAATTTGAAAAAAATAGTTGTATAAGATTTGAGGCAAAAATCACTGACAATTTTAAGTAAAATCGAGATTACCAAATTTAAAAACTCCATTTCCACATTCAAACAAAAGTTTGGCCTTTTATAGTTAAAAACAACTTTGTGCCCCCCCCCCCCCGAAGAATAAAATTAGTGAACAAATTTAACGTAGGACTTGCTTTTAAAATATTGAGCATTGACAAATTTAGAATCTTGTAAAGGGAAGTAAATTAACGTCTACATTTATTAAAACAGAATTGTGTTTCTTGTTAAATACATGTATGTGAAGTTTAAAAAACTGTAATATTAACTTTAAAAAAAGTGTGAGATAGGTTTGTAAAAAGTGTAAATAAAGGGCAACAATAGAAAGAATATGGAAATAAATGTCTTAATTGAGAACCAGAATTTTGGGTCTCTTGTGGTCTTCTGAATATTCATTTTTCTGCTTTTTATTATTCAATTATTGAAATTAGCCCAGGCGGCCATTTTTTTTCTTTTTTTATATTGCGCAATCTAACCTTTAAATATAAGTTCCGAGAACAAATTTTCGAAGAGGCCAGTGGCCTGGGGGTCCAGCTCGCTGACCGCCAGGCGCTGGGTCCCTGGTTCAAAACCAAGCCGGGGACCCGGGAGGAGAATTTTTCCTCACAGCAGTAATAAATTTTAAAAATAAATAAAATAGTAGCATGGAGCAGGGTTGAACCGTGTACCTTCTGCATGCCAGCTCTACTCTTTTCCGCTCTGCCATGGCAATTTCTTGAAAAAATCTCCGGTTATCGTAATTAAAACCCTTAGGTTGTTGGACTTGGACAATTTTTCAGCTTTGGCCAGAATTTCAGAAATCAAGGGGTACCCCTTGATTTTTTTTCAGATCTGAGGGTCTGAGGCTGGGAGGTTGAGAAGTTGGGAGCTGGAGGGTAGGCTTTGGGACTTTGGGCTGACTGGTTGATGGTTGAGAGGGAAATAGAATATTAGTTGAAGGGCTTCCTGACTGATAGGTCTGCAAGTTGATAGGACTAGGGAGGGTCTTGGGGATTTTTGGACTTAGAGTTTATTTGGCTGGACTTAGATTTGGGAACATAATTTCCTCATATTAGTTGGCCTAAATTTTTGACTGAATTTTCAGACTTCTTTTTTGAAGCCCTACCCTGTCTTGTAAGTTCAGATCTGTCTTCGCAGCCAATCATCAGTCAGACTGGTAGTTAGCCTTTTCCTTTTTTTGAGATTGCTGAACTTGTTGAAGCCTGCTAGAGACCACATAAGACTGCTGGAATGCTGGTTACCAGTGGTGTGTGAGGTGGAGGTAGACTTCTTAGCCTGAGGGTCTCGATGCAACCTGGTTGAAGGGCCTTCCTCACTTGACCATGTAGTGCGCCGTCAAAATGGGTTTTCATGCTTCAATGATTTTGTATGGCTTATCGCCCTCTCCTGTCAAGGTGTTTAGAGGTCACATGATAGTCTGGTGCCGGTGAAAATTTCAAGATTTTTAAACAGGAGTAATTTTTACACTTAATTTTTAGAGGTATGCCTAAATGTTTGCAAATCTTAGATTTGTTTCTCAGTGCAACAGTATAATGCAAAGTTTCTACGGCTTTGATTATATTTTACATTAGTACTTTTCTAAATGTTTAATCATTTTTTAATTGTTACACGATTCCTCTTGAAATTTTATGGAGTTCTTAATTGAAGACTTTACTTTATGAACAATCGATGGACACATTTTTAATTAAGCTCAGCATATATTTCCAGAATTGTTGTCCAGACAAATTTGTTGTTCTTGTTGCGTATTACGAATATTTTTCATTCCGATTTAAACTTTCACGCAGAACACACTTCGTTGTTTTTGTTATATTAATTGAATTAATTTGCTGTTGAAATTAAATAGACATCGTCTCAAAAACCAGTGTGTGGGTTTTTTTGGACTTTTTTTTGCATTATTTTGCATTGCCATTTTCTCGCTAAAAACAGTTTGTTTTAGTTACATTAACTGTATTGTTTGATATTCCTGTTAAAATTTTTCAGGCTTCACAAAAACGTCATGATCAGTTTATAGCGGAGGAAATTTCACTTTAATACAATGGGTATTTCTCATGATATCCTCCAGACAACGAGTATGTTCTGTTTCATTAGGTCGAGTAAAAAAAAAACATGTTCCTCGTCCGGGTTTTTGAAAAAAAAGAGGAAGCGGGGCTTTTTATTTTTTTATTTGTTTCAAGATGGCCGCCATATTAAAATTTCCTGAACTGTTGGTGTTTCCACTGTTCAAAAACACTTTTAAAATGAAAGATAAGTTGGACAAGAGAAATGTACATATTTACAGTGTCATTTAGACTTGTATTGTCTACAATTTATTTTCCGATGAATTTGTGGATTTTTTCGGTGTTTTTTTACTGCACTTTTCTTTTCATAATAAAAAAAATTATAAAAAAATCCAGGCGGCCTCC